ATCACGTCCTGTGATGGAGGGTGCGAAATGAATCTTTTACATTTGCTGGTTTTGCATTATTTTCATGTAAATTTACTAGCTATCATGATTATAAGCATCTTTGGTAGAGTGTTCGATCCGGAATGGGAAAGATCTATTTATGAAAATATTTTTGTTATCATTTAACCGTTGCAATTAGTGCACATACGCTGTGACATATGATTTATAGCATAACTCGCTGCCCTATCGATACAAATTTAACATGCAGGTCGCCTAGCCGTGGGGATGCAGCGGTCGGGATGAATATCACGTCAGCAACTGATGACTTGGGCATGTCTGGTAACAACGTATGAAGTGGAACTCGCTAACTTCACAAATTTGAAGATTTTGTACAATTTCTTTGAAAATATATATGAAAGATATGTCTGACTTGGCAGGGTAATGTCGCAGCCAAATGGCAGTCACTCCTTCTGACACGGTCCGGATCGAAAGATGACAATGTTCGTGAAATGTATTGATACTTCTAAATATAGGATCGTATCGAACATCCCTACTGTCAAGATGTATAACCCAAGGTACCGACGGAGCTATACTAAGTGACATATAAATCCGAACACCCAGTCTAAATGGTTTTATTTTAATAAAATTTTGTATAAGTACTTAATGAAGCATAATAAGTAAATGATAAAAATTTCAAAATGATTGCACTGCTTTAAAGCCCTTTGACCTTTAATAATGTGTGGATGCACCCTGATGTGCTACGCATTCTCCAACGCGCCTAGGCATGCTTCTGATCAGGTGGTCAATGTCCTCCTGTGGTATCTCATTCCAGGCAACCACCAACTCCTCTCGAAGTGCTTCTAGAGTCTGAGGAGGACGTTGCAAATTGAGCAACCTCCTACCTATCATATCCCACACGTGCTCAATTGGGGATAAGTCGGGAGATCTTGGTGGCCATGGTAACAATGTGACATCATTATGTTGAAAGAAGTCTATTGTGACTCTTGCAACATGTGGTCGGGCATTATCTTGTTGGAAAGTTGGATCTGCCAGGGTGTCAAGATAGGGTAAAAGATGGGGTTCTAGAACTTCGTGGATATAACGCTGCGCGTTCATGTTACCTCTGATGAAGATTAAAGGTGACCTGGAACCATAAGCTATAGCACCCCAAACCATAACTCCAACAGTGTGATGAACATGTCTTTCAACAAAAAACTGTGGATTCCTCCTTTCACCACATCGCCTTCTAACCCTGGCACGACCATCGTGCATGCCTAAACAAAATCGAGACTCGTCCCGAAAGACAATACTGTTCCATTCCTGATCCCAGAGTGACCGTTGTCTGCACCACTCAAGGCGATTGCGTCGGTGTTCTCGAGTTAAAGGGAGGACCCAGTGTGGCCGGTATGAAAACAAGCCAAAACTTCTCATTCGTCGGTAAACACTTCGCATGCCAGTAGGTCTTCCGTGTTCTGCAAACCATTCATTTGCAATGGACCTGATAGTGGAGAAACGGTCCCTTAAGGCCAATAATCTTAGGCGGCGATCTTCACGGTCTGTTGTTCTACGGCGGCGTCCAGTGCCCCTCGCTCTTTGCGTACGGCCTTCTCGAAGCCATGCCTGATAACACCTAACCACAGTGTCTACACTTCTTTGCACTCTAACTGCAATTGCCCGAAAAGAAAGTCCAGCTTCCCGAAGTCCCACTATACGGCCCCTATCGAACTCACTAAGTTGACGAAATCGTACAGGTCTCCGTACTCTAGGCATCGTAACCGATCGTAAAGGATGTCAAGAACCAAAATCCGCCAACGTTGATTCTTTACTGCGACTGAAATATTCATTTTTAGAGCGTTAGTGAATTAAAAAAAGCAGTATAAAAACCGGAATGTCCAACTGATAAGGCTGAAAATTTTTTCACTTGTTGTTTACAGTAAGATAAATACATTCACCAACTTTTATTAAAATAAAACCATTTAAACTGGGTGTTCGGATTTATATGTCACTTAGTATATTTTGCGGCGTCATGGAAATAATTTTAAATTTTCATTTGCATTTTTTCAAGTGTTGTGCAATGATTTTGGGAAAGATGTCACGAATAGTCTTATAAAGCATAGTATAGTAAATTTCAACAGTTGGTGGAACTTACTCCAGTGGGACCAGGACGGTGAAACGGGATATTAATGTCCAACTGGCAACATTGTCGCACCTTCACAAAATGGCCGCTGACAACCACACAAGTCACCGTGTTGTGATTGAATAGCATGGAATTAAACCTTCAGAGTATGTTTTGTGACTGCTACCAAGAGTTGACAGATCCCACTCATGTGTCACTCCTTGAAATGCAATAATCAGCTGAATTCAAATAATGTCTAATATAAATATAACCTAGAATGTGTACTGGTGAAAAAGAAAGATATGGCAAATTTGTAGTTTTTTTTTCAGGTTTTATAGGTTTGCTGGTATCCGTAAGGCATATATTTGGGAATTTCTTAATCGCTGTGAATATAGTGTGGATGTTGTTCAGTTTCTGAACAACGAAGAATATTCAACTTTATGGATGTATGGATATCAATAAACCTGAATGGTTTTGTGGTAATATCAATCTAAGGTGCCATAATGGTTCTGATGAACGGCAAGTAAATGAATGAATGTTTGGAAACGAGCAATATCAATTAGGTGCTTAATGGCTATCTGCAAGAGGTTTATAGGAAAAAACATCCAGTATCACATATCAATTGAAGAAAATAATATAAACATGAATAAAAAATCAACAATAGTAATTAAAACATGAAATTAATTCAAAAATCATTCATTTCTTAAAATTTTGACTGAATTATATGTAATTTCTTAATATTCAATAAGCTGGTAATGTTTCAATGACAAGTTGTCATCTCATACTTTGACAGTATTTTATTTTCAACATTTCATAGCTATTGGTTGCTAAAATTTGTTGATTGGAACTTGAAGCTCATTCGCTGTACCTGATGGTCTGTTACCCTATAGGTGGAGAATAACGGACTGTTGTTGTGAAATTAGGTCTAAATGAGCAATATGTTTGTAGCCATATTTCATCAATTTGCAACAATAGTCCGATTATATACCGGGGTATTTCAAATTCGACCGTCACCATTCTGATATCGAAAACGGTAAAAGATAAGTGTCATAAACAAGGACTATATAGGGAACTAACAACAAGCCGTTTATAATGCTTAGAAATTCAAAATACTTCCGATGAGACATGGAGAAAACCGATTTTCCCAAAATCGTTTCAATTTTTTCATGTCTTCATGGTGGGACTCCAAAATAAAGTCCAAGTTAACATTGCCACCTTTCTCCTCTACAAGATGGCAGGATTAGAATTTTGATATGACGTTTCGTCTCTTGTCCTCCAGCATCAACCTTATTTTTTTGTATGGACGCCACATTGGATTTTTGTGCAGATGAATAGATTTTTAAATTCTTATTCCTGCATTGACATTGCTAAGCCTCAGAAATATAGAATTTCCTGGGTTGGCCCTAAAATTTCATTTGCTTCGTATACCATACCAGACGTCAAATTGAACATAGCAACATAGTTTGAAAGATAGGAGACGAGAAGTGAATCGAGCAGTGAACAACGTACAGAGAAGAGGCAGGCTTTTCCTACAGAATAATAGATATTTTGAACATTTTTATTTCCTTACAATTTCCATCCAATAACAAATTCAGGGGCAACTAGAAATACACCACCGAATTGAAGACTGAAAGGTCCAGTTATATATAAAAAATTCCAAAAACAGCGTCTATATGAAGAAACAAAGTTGGTGATGGAGGTCGAAAGAAGAAATTTAGAATTGAAGATTTAACGACGCCATCTTGTAGAGGAAACTGAGTAACATTAACAGTATGAAATTTGTTTTGAAATCCCATCTCAAATAATAGACAGGAAATAATAAAAGCGATTTTAGGATAAATCTGGTAATCGGAACAAATGCCTATCTGATAATTTCAAGAACTACCAAGGAAATTCTGCTTTCTCTTTAGTAACTAAAGTTTTGACCATGTCAACGTATGGCCTGCTATACATTTTTGAAAATAAAATTAATAATCCTCTTCATCTGTGCTAAAATCCAATATGGCATCCCTAAGAAAAAATAAAGTTGATACTGGAGGACAAGAGACGAAACGTCATATTGAAATCCCAATTATGTCATCCTATAGAAGAGAAAAAGTGGCATTGTTAATGTGCAATTTATTTTGAAATCTCACTACAAATAAAGTCAGGAAAAAATTAATCAATTTTGTACAATTCAGTTTTTTGTTGATAAATACACAACTTTGCTTCCATTTAAGAGACTTCGTTTTTCTTAGAGTTTCCGATATCCCAATGATGAGGGTTGTATTTGAAACACCCTGTATACCGGCTATATGCTGTATCTCGGATATTATCTATTGCAATTAGATAATGCAGTAAAAATATTGCCCGTCCCTATTCAGATTGCTTTAAGAAGAAAACTTCAGAGGCACAGCAATATGTCTTTTCAAAAATAAATTATTTACTATTAATACCTGTAGTACCACTTCCGATATTTTAATGAAATTTGCCTATCACGTACATATCAGGACATATTTTTGATGAACCTCATTTTTTTAAATTCCACCAGTGGCGTACTAAGTTTCACACAACTATTTGCAGATATTGGTGGTACGACAATGGTATCTGTTAAAATAAAAATTATTCTTAAAATACCCAATCATTTCTAAGAAAATTTGATCGCTTGAATTCTTTCAATCCGTCTCGCGGTTTTCGCATAGGACAACAAAAAACCGTTTCTCTGCATGATATTAACAATATTGTTATATGATAATATCACCATGCAGAGTTGCAGCATTGATTTTTAGATAAAATCCAAGAGTCAGGAGATTTAGTCTGCTCATAAGTAAACACGGATTTTTTTATCTTAAGCAAAGTCAGTGGCGTGCAATGTAACATGTCATGCAGAATTCTTGATTAGATCTAGGTAGAAATGGAGACACCCTTTTGTTTTTACATATTTATATATTTATTTCTTCTTTAATATGACAGTATAATATAAAAGTCCTTCCATGCATTTACAGTTTTTGTTATTAGGGTCTAGGTATTTATTAGTGTTAATATTTTTTCTATCAAGGTACTATCAATGTAAAAATATATACAAAAGTGGTCAATTCCCTAAAGCTGTAGTGAATTTCTGCATTGTGACAATCGAACTGGTATTTTTAAGTACAGGAATAAAATAAATTATATTTACTGTAGGTTGCTTGAAGATAGCGATAATATAAGGTACGTAGCTGGTCTGGATATAGCTCAAAATATACTATAAAGATCTGACAAAAAATATAAAATATTATCGAATAAATTACAATAACGTTTAAATTATATACATTGACATAAAGTGAATAAAAAATTATTACATATAAGTTATATGCTTTTTTAAAATATCAACTTAAAGCTAAATGGTATATACCTGGCACGTGGTGTAATATTGACTTAAAACAGCCAAACATGCATTTTAAATGCAAACATGACTAAATTCTACAAGCCGGCGTTTGCTGGATCGAACGATTCATCTGAAGCTACCGAAATGTCTGCTATGATGCCACTCTCTGTAACAAAATGTCAGAGTATGAATAATATATAAATTATTATAACTAGCACATGAATAGGAGAAATAGTCTGTCAGTGATATTAAAAGATTTAGCCAGCACGAATTGTAAAGTCACTCATCCTTATTAGATATGGAGCTGGAACTGGCTAACATCCGATCTAGCATGCTCAAAACGGTATGGTCTTTTTATCTCACAGCATTTATTTCTATGGCTTGAATCTTCGAAATATTTATAGTTTTGGAAATGCTTGTTGTGTTGCGTGGTTACAGGTTTCCAGAGAATTGTAAACTAGTTGAATTGAGGATCATGTAGAAAATAGGCCTTTTCAGTAAAAGCGCTGACAAAAATCAACTAGGAGATGAGCAAACATTTTCCTCACAAATACACAATATCTGAAACCTGTATTTGAGTCTCCTAATTCCGAAAACCGCTAAATCCACTTTAGGATCTTGCCCAGAAAACGTAAAGTCCATAAAATAGGCGAATTAAGGTTCTTGCAGAAATTGGTGGATGGTAATATATAATTCTTGTGATTTTGCTCACGGGAAAATCTGACTTTGATAGTTTTTTTAAAAACAACGAAACTAAGGAGGAATTCTTCACAATTTAGAAGCGCTTAGAATATTCTCATTCTGACGGTATTCGCATGAAGGCAAACAATGAAATAAGCGTACTGATTCTTCATTATTTACTATAATTCTAAAAAAAAAACACTGAGCGATATTTGCTTCCTGAAGATGACATATTCCACATAGATCTTCCACTTCATTTTCTCGACAATGGCTCTCGTCTTCCACTACCTTCTCGAATTTTGTGACAGTATATTCGTCCACATTTTTCAACTGTTCACGTTTATATCTTCATTATTTAATTCTATTTGATATTATACATTATAGCTTTGGCAGGTTTGTACCAAACCACATTTCAATAAAGTCTTCCCTGACTGGTTAAACTGACCGTCAATTTTAATAAGTGTCTAAAAGCGCACCATATGATATAACTGTTGCACTGAGTGAATTTTGTTTCTCAGGTATGTAAATATGTAAATACTTTGGATTTAGGGGGCTTTGTTAACAAACGGACTTAGGGACTTTTGGACGTCACGCACTTATGGAATTAGCGGATTTTGAAACAAACCCGAAAATATAGAAAGATTTTGAAGTTTATGTAGCTGGTTTCGAAACGTATCTTAGGATCTGGAACATTATTTAGACATTTTGGTTGAAAAATGGATTTAGGCTACTTTGATACCAGTCAACTCATTTGCATGGAATTACTTTAAGGTCACTGTGAATGTTTCCATTATAGAACAGCCCAGCAATCCAATGTAAAGCCTTAATCCAGAACAAATACATCGTACATCGCATCCACTAGTATCCGGTATACTTACACCTCATACCAAATGAGACCATCACCAAAAGGACCATTTCGCTCAAAGCCAATAAATATTGAATCAGTATCAACATACACCAAATATGGGTTCTGAGGACTATTTATGTTTTTTCGTTTGTTTAAGTAAAACTGCAAAGATAGTATTCAGTATCGCGATTGATATGTTATCAACTTGCAATACTTTAGTATCAGTAAGCAGCATCTGACGATGAGGTCAGTCGCTTAGATTAGTGGCCATTTATATGTGCATCTGACATACACCGTACTTCGTTTTTTATTATATATTAACCAGTTAGACTCACAGTAAGTAGTATATGCAGGTATAAATATTAATATAAATAAGCTATAACACTATAAATAAAATATATAACAATAAATAAAAATCCATATAAACATATAAATGTTCAAATACACTCAAGTTTGCACATTCCATAATACTCTGTTATGTTATAAACGAGGTTTGACGTGAATAATTTTTTAACTCGATGTTAAATGAAAAATAATTACTATATTTTTGCTGGTAATTTAATGTATAATTTGATGTAGTTATAGTTGGGTAATTGAAGTCTGATAAAGGACTTTAAAATTTTTATTTCTAGTATTATAATTATGATGAGCATTAATATTTGGGAACCTGCTATTATATATCTAAGAATTTTACGTCACTTACAAATTTCTCTGCAGGCGTCGAGTGGATTGATTCTGAAAATTAATCTTACGATTCTTTTTTTGACTACTTTTATACTATGTATCAATTTCAAAAGATTTTCCCCATACCATGATGTTATAGGACATGTCGCATAATACGTATTCATAAGAGCTTTTCCATTCAGAACATATCTTAATTGTGAAATAGCAAAATATGTTTCATTTAACTTCTAACAGACGTTCATGAAAATTTGGCTTACAGTCAAAACATGTGCCAAACAACAACAAAAATTCAATAAAAAAAAGGCCATGCATATTCTGGTTTAGGTCAATTATACGTTGGATGTCTTATTACAATTTAAAATTAATGGATATATTTGACATCAGGCAGACAACACATCACATACGCTTTGAAGGTAAAGGTGACTGACACCTTTAGCAGATATAGTTGAGACCTGCAAACGTAGTTTTATGTCCCTCAGAGGTAAGAGGAGTATGACTGGGCAAATCACGTACAAATTGAAGAGCAGCGGTCCCCGTACTGAACCCTTTGTCGCTATTTTAAACACCTAAACTGATAAATTGTATATTATTTTGAAAAGCATCAAATTTTCTGTTTAGATTGGTGTGACCATTTTAGATTTACAGCTACATGTATGGCACTTCCTCGCATGGACGCCATGATGTCACCAGCAAAAGTAGCCAAATTAACATATTGAAATAATATGGCATCACACTAATTTGCCGGACAATAGGCGACGCACAGTGAGGCAGAATCCTAAAAAGCTGGCGAAAAATCAAATTTTTGAGTTGTATATATTCGTCTATACACGTTTAGATCTTGTTTACGGATATGCCTAGAATGAAATTCCGGACAGGGTCGCCTTGACATCAGCCGACATTCAGCCGTCGTTCGGTACGCACTAAGCATGTGTACACGTCAAAAAATTCTGACCTGTTACGACGTGCTGTAAAACAGACAAATCTATCTCAATTTGAATTGTAAATGTGGTATGAGGTGGTATGAGTATGTGGTATGATGTAAATGAAGGTATGCAGAATATATAGTTATGCACAGCTGTTGCTTATTTTATGTTTGAAATATTTAAATTTTACACCGAATAAACATAAACAATTGTACATTTTTTTTCTAAAGTAGTTTTAAAAATGTCTTCGCAAGTCTCGATCTTGCTTCGACAAGGAAGTGATAGTGTATAGTATGAAATATAATATAGTAAAAATCTGGCTGCCCAGGAGTGCTCAACGAATAGTTAGACTAATTTAATTAATGGACATGTGACTGTAATGCATTGATTATTACCGATCGGACAACTTTCTGACGAGGCCCAAGAGTTACGCAATGAGGACATTAAGAAATACAGATTAAATAATGCAAGAAAATGCTCTAGAGAATCGAATTTGAGAGATATCTTCAATAGGCTCTTAGTAACATCAGATCTTAAGCACCAGGAAATTGTCCCAGAGACCGGCGAAATCTTTACATAAAGAAGCTCTACAATTGTTAAAACAACCTGAAGTCACCAGACAAGAGACAAGGAACGATTCCAATTTAGATACAAGTGGGTCAACATCAGAATCCGAATCGAATGATTCGAACATTGAAGATGACGTACAAGATTTTTGTTACTAGAAGTAAATAGCACATATTCATTTTGCTGCAAATTTTTTATAAAAGAAATTTTTGATAAATAAATAACATTGCTCGAAAGATTTTTTACTCATTAAAACCTAAAAATATTATAAAATATTTTCTATTTAAAAATATTAAGAAATTAAAAATTTTTGCGGAGTCCTCCATATATAGCGTCTGCTATTTTGAAAATTAACATTTTGATAACCAATTCGTAATCAGCGATTCCAAAAACCATAAACAAATACAATTGGGTATTTTTACTGGATTACTTGACTAATTGGGTAAATTATGTCCGCCATTTTGGGTCCGCGATTTTGAAAATCGTAATTCTGATAACAGATTCATATTCAGCGACCCCAGAAACCTCCGAGAAGAGAATTTGAGATCATTTACGACACTTTCTGAATTTTGGCCAGGTTTTTGGGATACTGTCCCACTGTCAGACGCCACCAAAGTGTGGGCATGTCAGTGGTCTGCCATATATTTCAGTAGGTTGATTTATTTACAGGTGCTGCCGCCACCACCATAACCTGCCTATGACTGATTTTTCTAAAAAACAGTAAGGAGTTCTTGTTCCACCATAGTGATGTTATAGGAATGGCAGAAGACAGTAACTTATTACAGCTGTTAAGTGTTACATCGAATGGATTGAAATGTTAGATATGTCATTAGCACATACGAGTGGCGATTGACAGAATGCTGCTTACCAAAATAAAAGTTCTACGAGTACCACAATGGTTAGAAGGTGTCATCTTGGCAATACTGGTGCTGGTAGATTTTGACAGTCTTTCAGTAGTACCAATGTCAATTGTACTGAAATTTCAAGGAAGTTAATAAGTCAGAAGATTAGCGAAGTGTTTTTCACTTCTATTTTTTTTTTGATTTGGTTATGGCACATTGAGCAACTATCACTGATAAGTGGCTTAATTATTGGTCACTGTAGAAGTCCTGGAGAGAAATAAAAGAGAAGTTAAAGTTACGAATACCCACCTACTGAACATTGGCTATTCAAGGTTGCAGACTTATGATACGGCTTAGGACTATCGCAAGTTGACTCATAACTGCCATGACCGATGGAGCCGCCTTGACCTGTCGGCGTGCCTGCTGACCCTCCAGAACTGGTGCTACTTGACGAAACGCTCGACATAGATATCACTGAATGGGGGCGTTTGACGTTCCGACACGCTTCTGTCACCGGGCCCACTATGGAGTTACGGAACCTCGGAACAGCTGAAAAAGTATCCGGTTAATAATTATGCTGTCAGTATTGGCTGGCCCTATGAACGTTATCCAATGTCCATCTGTCTATCAACGTTGAACTGAATCTGTTTGTGATCATGGCCAATGGCATACATTGTTATTTAATGGTTTTCAGCAATCATTACAGGCTAACGGGAAGCAAACAAGCGGTTATAGCCTTTTGAAAAGCTCAGTGTATTGTGCGCAAAGTCTGAGCACAACCTACAAGTGGTTCGCCAAAGCTTGATACATCTTAAGCCCGTACGCTGAAAATGACAGCAATGACTGAAAGGCCTATAACTGATAGAGGTACGAGGTGTCGTCTACAACCATTAAAAGGATGACCTGTCAATCAGCCAAAATTCAAAATAGATCAAAGATGGTGGAGTAGTAAAAAAGTTCCATTTTGGTCCCTACTTACAGCCTTCTCTCAATAGAGACGTGAGTGTAGGTGCTCCGAGAAATACAACAAAAACTGTGAGTTTTTACCACTGTCCGATATCAAATCTGTTAGAGTCTACCTCAGTTGATAGCATAGAATTGTATAAAACGTGCAATATGCCTGCAAGACAAAATCGGCTAGATTTTGAGCAGACCTTAATAGATGCACTAAAGAGAAGAATGTTGCTGGAACTATTTCCAATGTCATTCTTGAAACGGTCACCTCTGCGTTGAACGATAAATTTAAATATTACGATGAAAAAACTACACAGTAAGAAGCAGAAATAGTAAATTTGAAAACAAATTTAAATGAATCTACTGGTATGTCAACAGAAGGCGGAGACAACATTCAACAACATATCAAGAGTAATAATTTGAGACTGGTACAAATTCCAGAGGCGGAAGGAGAAAATCTTGCTGACGAGGTTTACCATATTTTCACCAATAAAATCAAACTGAATATTAACAAATCGGAGATAACGGCTGTTTGTAGGGTTGGTCATCGTAGCGATACAAAACCTATACATGTTTTGGTATCGTTTACTGACAATTCGATTAAGATGGCAGCGTATATTAAAAAAGGTTTCTTAAAGGCTCTAAGATAGTTATTGAGGAAGATCTAACTCCGCATCGGTTGAAAGCAGTTATAGCAGCTTCTGAAAAGTTTGATTTCAAGAAAGTATGGACGGTTAATGGCAACGTTTTTGCAAAATCTGCCAAGGTAGTGGAGAAGTTTAGTATGAATGAATAGCTGTGTTATATATAAGCTATATAGGGCTATCCCCCAGTACCTCAAATCATATGAAATTCACAAGTTCAAAGCGGTCAGGCATATTTTTACCGTGAATGTATAATTATTCTTACTGCTGCTTCGGATTTTCAGTTTTATATTATTTGCATTATATTATTCTGCTTATATTTTTATCATATGAGGCATAATTCACGTTATGTATACATATATTAGTCTACACTTTTAGATTTACTACCACTTTTCTCTCTTTTCCATTTTTTTTTTACTTAATTGTCGTTCCTATTGACGTTTGGTTATGCGGTATATTATATATGTGTATATATATTATTCTAAACTTTTTTATTTCAACTTTACTGCCACGTTTCTGACTTTTCTCTCTTTCTTTCAAATCTACATGTTGTTCATATTGATGCTTGTATATGCTTGACGGATGTATTTACTGGCACAATGTCTCTTATAATTTCAAAGGATGAGTGGAAGAGCGCTAGATAGTGAACTACCCCTTGTGGTTTTCAGACAGTCGTTCTTTTTTTTCTCTTTGTTTTCCTTTTTGATATTTTTTTGTGCACTGTTGAAAATAAAGGCAATTATTATTATTATTATTATTATTATTATTATTATTATTGTTATTATCATTATTGTTATTATACTCAAGTGCCCAGTGACTCTTGGACGGGTAACGCATACGGATAGTCTCCGTGGTTCCATATGTCGCCTTTATTTGTTGTCACTGAAATCCGAAGCATCTCCAAATATTATACAGGGTGCATCATCTATTACCTTTTTTTTCTATTTGAAAAATCAACACGCTTTTTACGAGGTGAAATCGAATTTTTTTATTGGTAAATGAAGGTTGGTTTATGCCATTTATGTATGAAAAATAACATCAGTAATGTGACCACCGCAGCTTCGTTTACAGGCCAACATCCGAATATCAACATTTTCAATGACTTTTCCCAGAATAATCGGGTCTATGGCAGCAATTTCAGTCCGAATATTGCGGTTTAGGTCTTGAATTGTCCGGGGACCATTCGCATACACTTTTCCTTTCAAAAATCCTCAAAGAAAATAATCAAGAGGTGTTCAATCGGACGATCTCGGGGGCCAACTGACATCTGAATTTCGTGAAATTATGAGGTCTTCAAATTTCGTGTACAATAAGGCGATTGTTTGGCGAGATGTGTGAGCCATTGCTCCATCTTGATGAAATCAAAGATCGTCGGCACCAATACGATCCAATTGAGTCCAGAAAATGTCTGTTAACATGCCGCGATAACGTTCCCCGTTGACGGTAATTGCCTTTCCTTCGGGATGTTCAAAGAGGAATGGTCCAACGATGCCACCAGCCCATAATCAGCACCACACAGTATTTTTTTCACGATGGAGAGGTTGTTCATGATATAGGTGTAGATTTTTAGCCCCCCAGAATCTGCAATTTTGTTTATTTACGTACCCATTGAGGTGAAAATGAGCCTCATCAGAAAACAGAACTTTGGCCGAAAATCCGTCTTCTCTTTCCAACAATCAATTAACAAAAACACGCCGCTGTTGATGGTCTGCCGGCTTCAGTTCTTGTGTTAGTTGGATTTCGTATGGATAGAGGTGTAAATAAACGTGTAAAATCCGGCGTAAAGTGGTCTCACTAATTCCCAATTGTTGCGAACGGTGCCTAGTCGAGGTGGTTGGATCTTCTCGCACACTTTCACTCAGTGCGGCTATGTTTTCACGAGTACGAGCTGGAAGAGCATGTTGGTATGGTCTACGGCCTTCAGCTAAACCAGTTTCCTTAAAACGATTAACAATCCAACGAATTCCAGGTTCTGTAGGGCGTCTATGTCGGCCAAAACTAGTGCGAAGTTTGCGAAAAGTATTTTTTATATTTCGACCGTTTTCGTAATAAGTTTGAATAACCCAAATGCGTTGTTGTGTTGCAAACGAATCCATAAATATAGATGGCATACCTGTGACGGTTAATTTATGCATACCACATGACTTTTGACTCAATGGTAACACATAAACTTATAGGTAAAAGAAAGTAATAGATGCCGCACCCAGTACAAGCGAAAAATAAATTGTGCTAAGTGATGATTCTTTCTTATTTATGACAGATAAACATCGGTGGTAGAATATGGGACAGCCATAACAGTATGAGTGATAGAATTATTACAACCCAAAATCCGAAAGAGTTGTGGTGTGGCAGGTACTTCTGATGAACCTACACAAGAAAATAGAATTTACGCTTCATGTACACCCAATAATAATATTACTAACTTACTTCGACTTAGTTGAGCAAAGCTTATTGACCTATCGCTGATTTGGTTATCGCTGGGTCTGATGTCTAGACAAGGTTTGTTTCCAATTCCCATGGAAGACATCTCTGCCATACGTACAGCTTGAAAAGAGAATACTCATTATTATGACTTCATTTATCCTGAATATTTATCTACTACAGACGATTGTTAGGTAACAGTCAGAATCAAGGACAGTCAAGGTTAAACTGAGAAATGATGTGTCCAATGGCCACTGCGCTGGTTGAACGATTTGATTCCAACATGCTGTTTATCAGTTGTTGTAGTCGCTGCATTTTAGGCGCTCACGATAATGGTGGATTGAGTATGAATTGGTTCGTTTCTATGAGGTCTTTTTAAGGTCGTATGATGTGCATTCCAAGGCAAATTACTACTACTACTCACCTCTATTTTTTATAGCTTGCTTCCATAGCAGTTGTGATAGTTCTTCCGTCCAAATCTTTTTCACGTCCTCTGTCATAGACTGCAAGGTGAACGTGTCATTAGGCTTACGTTTTCTGAACCAAATCTCGAATTTTGTGGGGCTTTCACCGATTTTCGCCGTTAAACCAATGTCCGTCATCTTGATACTGTTCTTGTAAATGTAGAGGTCCAAGTTCTGAAAGAGGTATGAATATGCTTTACTTCAAGAAGATCATACAGGTCGTGACATGCGTCACGCAAATCACGGTTCCTTTACGATAAATTTGGGCTATATTTTGTATGTTGTATATGAAAACAGGTTCTTAATCTAATCTGATCCTTTACCTACTACTGTATGCACTGTAGATTTTAGGTACTTAGTAATAAAAAATCCAAAGGTAGAAAACTGATGGGATGAGTTATACTAACCTTTCTATCAGGAAACCTTCGTGCTTTACTGAATAGTATCAATTCTTCGAATAGGAAAACTTGTCTAAGTGACCTCTTCCCACTTTTTCCTTCCCAAACCAAGAATTCGTTTTGCCTTAAGAGGCGACCCTGTTCTTTCAAATTTACCTAGAAATAAAACATTCGTCAATACCATTTAAAATCTAATTGGAAATTATGTTTCGGTGTCATGATTTTTTATTTTAAGAATAAATAAATTTAAGTTATATTCAAACTTACATCACATTCCCTAATCGAATCCATGGCCAGCAAGTCATTGCCATGTCTCAACTGAAACTTAACCATCTCTTCGGCTAGTTTGAGGTCCTCAATTTCTTGAATAGACCTTTCAGATGAGTTCAGGAGCGTTTCGGGACAAGCTTTCATCATTTGCTGCAATAATAGAGCGTATTTTCCCATTCTTTGTACTGGTTTCAATAGGTAACTGGCCAGATCCATCTTATCGCCCAACTCCAATTGTTTACTCTGAGAATAAAATATAGAAAAGTATTAAAAATGATTAACGAACGATGCCATGTCAGATCCCGTTGGTCTTGGACGTTTGACGTAACATTTTCTGGGCAAAGCAGGTTCATGGTCATCTAGAGAAGATTTTTATCTTTCATATAATCGAAAACCCACATTTGTGAAAAATCGTGGATGTACATACTAAGGTGATTGGGCGAACTGGTGAAAAAAATGTATCATCCTTTATCCTCGTTTCTTCCTATAATTAGGAGTACGTATTAAAAATATGTATATACTTAATTGAGGAGCAACATGCCTATGGCAAACGTGGTTTCTGCTAACTGGTGAATTTTTATATGTTATGCGTCTTCGCGTCCTTAGCATAATTAGGGTAAACTGGCAGAATCAAAGGATATACGTTATCCTTGTTTCTTGATTCTGCCTAATCGTAATCCTGAGAGAAAATAGTAGTTTACATTTTAAAGGACTTCCTTGTCACATCCGCTCTGAGACGTGATAAAGCAAAACATGTGGCTAACGTTTGTGAAAAGTGGTAAACTGGTAGAATTAAATAGGACGTGTTATTCTTCTCTCGACCTTTCCTATAATTTTTGGAGAAAGTATTGAAAATCTACGTCTAGAGGCACTTGCTTCCCGACATATTGATGCAAAATCTGTAATCTGTAGATGACATTCGTAGGTATTTGTTTTTTTTTTGTCATTGATGCTTATATGAGAGAGGTAGCTGCTGTATTAACACAATAAAAGCTTCAGAACGGATTAAATGGAAACGCGGAAATCCCAAAAACCACGTTTTTGCAATACCTTATAAAGTGTCTGATGAACAGTATTCCAAGTTAGGCCTTATTTGGGCGTTTCACATGGTTTTTGGCAGGTCACATTCAAACTTCAGGAATTACTTTCATACATCCATCTCCCTCACTCATACAAATGCAATCGACGGACATTTGTTTGTATGAACTCAAAGACATGCGCATTTTTTCTGTTGTCTCGCAGACATGAAAATCTCCCCGTCTTCCTAATTTATGTTTGTCACTGTCAGTATGACAACTTGCCTGTCTTCGATATAAAAACAGTTAATGCCTTGAGGTACAATGTCGACGTCTGTATTAAAAGCATTTTAAGAAAGTGAATGAAAACAACTTAACGGTTTTCTACTTGGAATCGAAAAGAATGTCCATCTTCGAAGCGGAAAAAATTTTTTGTTCATGTATAAGTGACATCAAGGCCAACATCTATACATATTTTCGTGGTTTAAGCTATACCAGTGGCTTATCATTTGGTGAATTTTAACTCCTATAGAAAAAACAGGAAAATGAATTTCTACCACTGAAATTTTTGGAGCACATATTACATTTAATAAGTTATTCAGTCTTGCATTAATCGCTTTGCCTGATACGAACGATCTCAGTCAAACTTATGGATTCTTAATAGAGAAATTCATCATACATGATCCTAAGCAGTTTTCATGTTCCTTTAATGTTCGTGACTGCTCCTCGTATATACATCCTTTCGACAAACTGATTCATGTTTGGTTTCGGTTATATTAAAGCAGTAGATGCTTCCATCTCACATTTTATGTATCCTATTTTATTTTTATTTATGTATATGTGACGTAGATTATTGTACTACATCCCCTTTGTTGCAACTCATTTGGTATGGTTGCCCTTTTCCATTTTTATACATATTTATTATTTATTTAACCAGTTCTTACGTTGTCTCATGTTTTGAAGTTTCATATGGTTAAATCACTAACTTCGTTAAACTCCTTGAACATTTTCTACAGGGTGGGCCATAAGAGTGTTGGCGATTTAAATCTTAAAATTCTCGAAAACGCGGTGCGCGAGTTGGGGGGGGGGGAGCTGTTAGTCGCGCCGTTTGTCGGGAAATTTAGTCGCCATGGAGCGCAGCGTGCATTTTGTGTCAGAGCGTATTATGAAAACAATAAATCGGTTATTACTGCACGACGTTTGTATCGACATGAAAACGGTTTTGGGCGATTTAAGATAAGTTCCAACCGCCAATGTGATATGGAAATGGATCAGAATGTTCGAAACAACTGGCTCGGCAGTAGCAATAACAGCTCGTGGTCGTCCAGTTTCTGCAAGATCAGCTGACAATGTAGAGCGTGTTCGTCAGTTCAGCGAAATCCGCAACAGTCAACACGTAAGAGAAGTCAGGATTTGCACATCAAGGCCAGTGATGACAATCAAAGCTAACAATTACTGCAATATGATAACAGACTTTTTGGTGTCAGCTTAGTAAGAACTCCAAGGCAATACCTCTAGAATGTGGTTTCAATAACATGGGGCCACAAGTCATACAGCTGGGGTATGTATAGAGCTGATGAAAAATGTCTTTCCAGCAAAACTCATTTCGAAAAGGGGGATATTGAATGGCCACCACGTAGTCCCGATCTTTCTACATGCGATTATTTCTATGGGGCTACCTCAAATCGGTGGTCTACGAGAATAATCCAACCAATTTAGAGCAGCTGAAGAGGTATATTGTCCAGGAAAGTAACAAAATACAGAGAACAACTTTTCAACGAGTTTTCCAAAATCTGCAGCTTCGGTTTCAAGATTGCCAAGCAGCTGAAGGAAGTCATTTGAACGACATTATTTATAAGACTTTTTAAAAATACATTTTTATTTTTCTTTTATATTGCGTAGTTATTTTTTAATAGAATATTAAAATTGCCAACACCTTTATGGCCCACTCTGTATTTTTACATGCTTCCATCGTCGTATATATATATATATTTTTTTTGTCTATTATGATCTGTTTTTTTTAAACATATAACCTTATTTGGTATTTTTGAATTTTGTTATCTATTTTTGACATTGACATTGAAGAAAACAAAATAAATGTCGAAACGTCGGTTTTACGGATAAAGTGCGTCACTGAGCACATTGAGCTTCCAAGATCCGAAGATTACAAGTAACATTTTCAACCTACCGGGATAAAAACTAACTTTTGTTTTGCATCAAAGAATCTAACAAAATCCTGCTCGTATGAACATCGCTTACCTTGAAGAACTGAGTTCCATATTCTGACATCAATGAATCCGACTTCGGCTTGTTCTTATTATACAGCGCATACAAGTAAAACCTCTTGTCGTACTTCAAGAAGATTTGGCCGACTTGCAAAGGATTGTTGATGCACTCTTCCAATTCGCCAAGGAAATGTTGACTGTGGAACTCGTAGATCTTTTCTACATTCCCAAAGACTGTATTTCTTTGTCCGCGCAAGGCTTGAGGTATGTCTTCCCTTTGCAGTTCCGGGACGTAGTTTACTATTATGTAGTCCAGAGATTTGACGTAGTCCCGTTCCGTTTCGATCATTTCTTTAATTATGTACGTTAGCGTCCTGGAAAAAGAAATCGAGTTTGGTAACTCAATTCGCAATAGTCTTTGTCAATAGTATTGTTTGGTTGAGAGAAAAGCTGCCTAATTTAATGGCGCTTTATATGAGATCTAAGGAATTGTGCTAGTTTGTTTTAATATTCAGCAATTTCAAAGAAATGCACTTATAGTTCACATTACTTACTTTTGTGTCTTTGGATCCATATTATTGTACAAAGCATCTGATGGCAAATCTAAGCTAGAAGCATGGCAGTAAAGATGGCTGTTCGCTGATACGGGAGGTACCTTTCTTCGCTCTTCTTGATAGTTATCTTCTTCGATGTCGTCACTACTGCTACTGATAAGCAATAAATGAGTATATGGCAAGCTGAGAAATACTAGAATAATAGATAGCAATGCGACTGGCTAGAAGTCTCCTAGAGGGGACCAGCTTTAAATATTTTTGAAATTGTTGTAACCTGAGAATAATATTGAATAAAAATAATTACAACAAAATAAAATCTAAGTTGCAAGAATTTCAGTGGTTGAATATAAAACATGTCATATCATATTTGGTTCTTATTTTTATATTTAAAATAAAAAATCATCTTTTGCCAGAACATTTAGAACACTACATAGAATTGGATAATCATTACCACAATTATTATACAAGAGGAAATATAGATTTGCATTTACAAAATTCCAATAGTAATAGTAGCAAATCAATATTTCAGAAAGGATTACTTGAATTCAATAAACTAAATAATGATTTGAAGTCCACTTGTAATTTAAAGGAAAATTAAAGGAATATTTCATGGACAATGAAAATTCTTAGAGAAGCAAATTTTGTTGTTGTTTTTTCTGAATGTCTGTATGTTATGTAATTGCTTAGTTTTTTGGAAGAATCTAATTGTAGCAATCATGGTAAATAAATCTTAAACAAACAACAAACACACATCCTTAAACTGGTAGAAACATGAATAACGTAGAAATACCATGGAAACGAAAAGGTAGGTTTGGTATTATCCATATAATGGTTCGTTTTTTTAATGCATTTTTGTTCAAATAATCAAATTTTCTAAGTATTGTAGCGAGAATTTTTCAAGTTTGTATCTCAGGTCTTCTCCAGGAGACCTTGGACGGATAGCACTAAGCGCTGAAGTAGTTGCTTGACTGATTTTCAGGAATATTTTTTCTTTCAATTAAACACTCAATCCTAAATAAGATATGGAATCAAAGTGAATAATTATTTTGTATTAGGTAATCGATTTTAATATAAACTCAGAAGCATAAATTTACAACATTGCAAAATCTTCAGTTCACAATTTATGTATAATTGTACTCTACGTGCCCCTTTTACTCACGTCCCATGCTCAAGGTCCCTCATGGGGACCATATATTTCCATATATTTTCTCATATACGTATGTGTCATTTTATTCTAATTAGCCTCAAAAGAACCAACAATAAGCAAAAATTAAATATTTGCCTGGGCATTGGAGAGTTAACCTGGGACTTTTCTTTGTGCGATGTTTGGAGAAATAAGTATAAGTTCTCCCAGCAAACACCATAGTCAAAAATGTGCGAAACAAGTGCGGGACTACCTGCAGCAAAGGATAAGGTTAAGAGGTACAACGCGCAATAGTATCCAATCTGGGCATTGAACGTCGCGTTAGTAATCCGAGATGTTGGTTTATAAATCGGATTTGAAGAAACCGTATATGGTGCATAAGTAGCATACATATCCAACTCATCGACATGGTGTGAGTTTTCAGCGTCTCTCTGCTTCTCAAGCGTATTATGGAGTGCATTTGATTTTTGAAGTGGGCATTACAAATTAGGGAAAAAGGTTGGCAAACATGTGATTGCCAATCAAACGGCGACAACTTCTGAACAGTATCTACAGTCAACGCGTGACAGGCCAGTACCTGATTTTTTTTAATTTCATAGTGAGTACTTTACCTACTTTTTATCAACCATTTCGCTTATACCTCGCAACATATCTGCTTCATTTTTCCAAAGTATCTGAAAGGGAGAACCCCAACACCGTGCATCTATCTACGCATAAGGATGAGTGGAACCATCTACCAATTCATTCAAGGAAAAAGTTGTCAACTGATTACCTTTTGACAAATCCATCACTTCCCTCCTCGATGATGCTATCCTGCTGGTTCTCAGTATGGTCCTGGTTGGACCCAGCACTCGAGCTGCCCGCGCTGCACATGGCGCAAGTCTCCCTGTAGTACTGGCACGAGCATTGCCTTTGCATTTTCTTTTTTCCATACACGCTGCCGTCCCCTACAGAGTTATCCGCCGTGGATACGCCACTGTCGCATCTGTTGCATTCGTCGATTTTCTCAAGGAGGTTTTCCACGCTCTCGCGCTCCTCCTTGATGCCTCCAAGAGTACCTGCCGAATCAAGAGATTAAAATAGGTTGGAAGTTATGTACAGAAGATAATTACTTCTAAAACCAGTAACATGTTATAGCTTTTGTTCATCCGATAACAGATGGCCAGTCATGAGCAGCTATTTCGTGCTATTTTTAAGCTCATTAGCATGCTCTATGCTTAGTTCTAAGAAGAATAATGAATTCAAGCTAAAAGATTACCCCGATAGCACAAAATATTTAACAAACACTTATTCAATATTTAACAATACGTTTATCTCTCTTGAATCTTTGCTATCTCAAATAAATACTTGGAATATAATATTGTTATTAAATATCTCTTAAATATTTGTAATACAGTATTTTTTTATAATATTCAAATATTTTCTTTTCAATCAGTGAAAAATATTAAAACTCCATTATTTAGAAAATATTCATTAAATATGCGTGTGTGATCCCGAACGACGAATGGCGTAATGGCAAGCCGACCTGAGCCGACATGTTCGCCGGCATCCATTTTGCCTGTGAGTTTCATTATGATAGCATGCTTCCTGTGTACCTCCAAGTGGTACATTGTTTGTATTTTTTTGTGGAATAGGGTAAGTTTTGCGATAATTACATAGCTTAATTTATCTGACTAGTAATCATTATTTTGCCAGTTGAGTATAAAGGTATTTACAAGACCTTAAATAACTAGCCTTGAAGTATAACAGTGTGCCCATGGAAATTTTTCGTCAAGATATCTAAAATAACAAACCAAATCTTCTTAAAAATTAACTAAATCGCGAACTCTCTTGGGAAGAAAATGTGGGGTCATTTTAGGCGCATTATAGAGCTGCTTTTCGGTGACCCAGTTGAGCTACTCGGAGTAGCTCAACCATAAATACATTTCAACAAAATCAATAAGTAACCTTTTCTTTAAAAGTTAGTCAAAGGATCAGGTTGTGCCCATGGAAATTTTTGTGGCGTCATTTTAGGCGCATTATGGGTGACCCAGTTGAGCTACTCGGAGTAGCTCCACCATAAATACACTTTCTAGAGTAGTTCGGGAGATCTCTCTCAAGCAAAAGACCACTGGAAAGCAGCTTATGTATTCAATGATGCTTCATAATCAGTAGGTTTGTTTTTTCTCAGAGAAGTGGATATGCAAGATGCTGAATATTTGGAAAAAAAATTATTAAATGTTAAAAAATCTGTCGCTACAAACATTTAACAATTTTTTTAGAATATTTAATAAATATTCATTGCTATCGAGTAACTCTCTGTCCAGGATATAAGGTCTATCAAAATAACTACAAAGAGCTCGATTATCAGTTCATAAAGTATTATGTTTGGCACAGATTAGCCCTGGTTAGAAATAACTCAGCTTCGAACACTTATAACAAACAAACTCAAAAGGCCAAGTCAGTCTAAAAGGTACAGTTAGTTTTCAACTAGTTATGTACCCTACTGATAATCAGGCTGCTCCCCCTTGAAGCATAGTTTTGTGAAACATACTCAAGGGTATTTAGAATTGACAACACTTGAGAAAATTGACCCCCCGTAATATACAAAAAGTATTCTCTTGCCCGTCATCCCCCTGATAAAAATTCTTGAGGGCACCCATGCCTGCGGTCGCCAGAACCCAGACCCAGCCTCCTTCATGTCAAGATCTCTTTTCGTTCATTCCTGCTGTTTGCATTTCTAAGGGAAAAGACGGGTACACCTATGCATAACATATGTCTAATAGGTACGTAGAATATGTAAATTTACAGTTAATATATAAATATACTACAGCCAAAAAAGGGATACGCCTTCCTCCACCGCCAAAACCCTCTAAACCTGTGTTCTTTACACCCCAAAAACTTGGAACAAGGCCCTCTCAAACATCAAAACCTGAAGTATGGATATGTTTCCAAAAACTACAAAGTTTTTTCATCCCTGGCTTAGTAATGACCTGATGTCAAGGTCTTAAAGTATGGCCGGTACTTTCCACGTTAGAGAGGACAGACAGTCAGGCACATCGACAGAGCGACAAACCGACAGATAGGCAGTTATGTAACATTAGACAACATGATATCCCTTTTTTCGAAATTCTTCGGATTACAATACTTCTTCACTAGTAAAGCGGGAAGCGAAAAGTAATAAAAGTTTTAGCCTTCAGAAACCTTTAAGTTTAAAGTAATAAGACTGTAGAAAGCTGAACATCTTTTCCGTAATGCAATCTCGACCACAATCCTCTTCTTGGGTAAATCTACGAATCGGACGTCATTTCCTTTTGAATCCGACATGCAATCTCAAAAGTCACATTTGTCTACTTCAAATAGCGATTTCAGCATTTCTGGATCTCCAGTGCGCCTCCTAAATTACCCTAGTGGGTAGAGTTTTGTTCGTTTGTAATAGCAGCAGATGTAATTGGAGGTTTGGCAGTTACCTTTTGTATTTTTCCCAATATACCAGCCAGTGAGCGTAAAAGGTAGATTTGTGTAACAAACCCACTGTCAAAGGTTAAACAGCAGTGATTAACCGTACTTTTATGCTAACTTACCCCTTAGCTAGCGACTATAAATACAGGCTTACCACTATTCTTCCTTTCTAGCGCATCCTTGCAAACGCAGTTCTGCAACGTCTGAATATACTTCTTCTTCAGCTTGTAGGAAACAGAGTTGTTCTCAGTATCAGACTCGCAGCAATTGCACATCTCCCCCGCTGCATGGTGGCTGCAATGGTAGATGAAGGCCAAGGAGCTTACTGACCTCCTCCTGATCTGGGACTGAGGTTTCACGGGAGTACTGGATGCGCTGATGCCTGACAGAGAGGGAGGTCTCTTGTTTTGCTGGGGTTTTGGTTTATCTGGTGGCTGGTTGGGATCCGTGGTCGGGTCGTGCTTCTTTGCCGACTGTAAGGTAGATAAATATGCTTTATTGTCTGAAGAATACAGTCAATCTTAATGACAAAGCTAACTTAGAATCGAACTATAATATAATTACATAAATGTGGATCTTAAGTAGGTGAACCGTAGAGCTCAGACATAGTATAATATGGTTTACATGTTATGAAGTTTTTTAGTTCACGGAGGAATATATTCTTATGACAGCATCGGAGAGACGCATGTAAATTATCAGACAATTATAAATGAGTCTTCCACAAGTGCTGATTAAAGTACTACTAATTTTGTTTTGACAATGATACGATAGTCTTTATTTTAGGGTTTACAGATAAAGGCTTGCATGCAGCTCTAGAACTACTCGTTTAGTTATTCATCTAGTAGTTCGTTTTTGTACAATAAGCACTTTTTTAAACAATTTTGGGAACAGACGCACCAAAAAGGAGTGCTATATCTCAATCCAATGTCAAACTGAGTAAAGTAACTGCTTAAAGCTGTGCTTTTCACGACGTTGTAACTAATTGTTCTTATAATAAAGGAAATCTTTGCTATTTGAGTAAGCAATTTCTCTACATGATTAGTGAAAGAAAAGCGTATAGTCTCTAAGTATAAGTAGACTTCAGAAAGACTGGTCATGTTTCGACAAACAATAAATATGATATACTGCACGTTATCATCGAAGGTAAAACACAAGGAAAGCCTAGGTGGGGGTGGAGTAAATTGTGCTGGTTAACCAATAATACACACTGGACAGGTTTGTCATTTGAAGCCTCTATAAGAAAAGCTGAAGATGGGGCAGTGTTTGCTATAGTGGTCGTAAGCTTCCAATAGTAGTAGACAGGACTGACAAAATAAAACAGATTGGATGTCACTGTGTGTGCCTTTGACGAAGGTGAGATCAGCCCACACGATTGCATATTAGCAGTGGCTTATAATAGGCTATGCACTTCTTGGCTTTGCTGCACGACTATAATGCCGACCTTAAGTAAAAGGCAGTAAAGTACATTTACTGACTTTTTCAAATTTTAACGTCAACACATTTTTTTTATGATAACAAATACAATATACTCGTGTATATATATATATATATATATTATTCAACAGAAATAGTTTTAATTCTTTGTTTGACTAATATTTTATATTAATTAAATTTTCTAAGTATGAATGCTGTAAGTAAATTTATCAAATTAAGTAGTTTTGAAACTATGGTATACTGCTTTTATTCCTTTTACGATACAAGTTCTGCCCTTATACCCTTCATAACCTATTATGATGTTTATTTATTAAGTTTTTTACGTAATGGTTCTATTATTTATGAATAAGTAGAAGTATTTATCGTTATAAATCATTACCTTTGTCCCAAAAGAATGATTTTGAAAAACATTGCTCATTTAACTCAAGAAAACATACTGTTTTTAGTTTGTTTATATAAATGTTTTCGTTCAGTCTGCTTATTAAATGTAAATATACTAAGTGACATATAAATCCGAACACCCAGTTTAAATGGTTTTATTTTAATAAAATTTTGTATAAGTACTTAATGAAGCATAATAAGTAAATGGTAAAAATTTTAAAATGATTGCACTGCTTTAAAGCCCTTTGACCTTTAATAATGTGTGGATGCACCCTGATGTGCTACGCATTCTCCAACGCGCCTAGGCATGCTTCTGATCAGGTGGTCAATGTCCTCCTGTGGTATCTCATTCCAGGCAACCACCAACTCCTCTCGAAGTGCTTCTAGAGTCTGAGGCGGACGTTGCAAATTGAGCAATCTCCTACCCATCATATCCCACACGTGCTCAATTGGGGATAAGTCGGGAGATCTTGGTGGCCATGGTAACAATGTGACATCATTACGTTGAAAGAAGTCTATTGTGACTCTTGCAACATGTGGTCGGGCATTATCTTGTTGGAAAGTTGGATCTGCCAGGGTGTCAAGATTGGGTAAAAGATGGGGTTCTAGAACTTCGTGGATATAACGCTGCGCGTTCATGTTACTCCTGATGAAGATTAAAGGTGACCTGGAACCATAAGCTATAGCACCCCAAACCATAACTCCAACAGTGTGATGAACATGTCTTTCAACAAAAGACTGTGGATTCCTCCTTTCACCACGTCGCCTTCTAACCCTGGTACGACCATTGTGCATGCCTAAACAAAATCGAGACTCGTCACTAAAGATAATACTGTTCCATTCCTGATCCCAGAGTGACCGTTGTCTACACCACTCAAGGCGATTACGTCGATGTTCTCGAGTTAAAGGAGGACCCAGTGTGGCCGGTATGAAAACAAGCAAAAACTTCTCATTCGACGGTAAACACTTCGCATGCCAATAGGTCTTCCGTGTTCTGCAAACCATTCATTTGCAATGGACCTGGTAGTGGAGAAACGGTCCCTTAAGGCCAATAATCTTAGGCGGCGATCTTCACGGTCTGTTGTTCTACGGCGGCGTCCAGTGCCCCTTGATCTTTGCGTACGGCCTTCTCGAAGCCATGCCTGACAACACCTAACCACAGTGTCTACACTTCTTTGCAATCTAACTGCAATTGCCCGAAAAGAAAGTCCAGCTTCCCGAAGTCCCACTATACGGCCCCTATCAAACTCACTAAGTTGACGAAATCGTACAGGTCTCCGTACTCTAGGCATCGTAACCGATCGTAAAGGATGTCAAGAACCAAGATCCGGCAACGTTGATTCTTTACTGCGGCTGAAATATTCATTTTTAGAGCGTTAGTGAATTAAAAAAAAGCAGTATAAAAACCGGAATGTCCAACTGATAAGGCTGAAAATTTTTTCACTTGTTATTTACAGTAAGATAAATACATTCACCAAATTTTATTAAAATAAAACCATTTAAACTGGGTGTTCGGATTTATATGTCACTTAGTATATATAACTAAATTGAGGTATTAGGTGTGAAAAGGGATTACTTTTGTGCTATTTATGAGAATTTCAATTTGAATAAATTATATTAAAATGAAATAAAATTGTGCATTACTGCAGACAGACGATAAAAAAGAAGTATATTTGCTATTGCAGGGTATAAAAGCAGTAAACCACACGCTACTGCTTTTTGGTTTACGACAATTAAAGCCAAAATGTCATTTATTTTAGGCATCGACAACAATTATGATCCGAAATGACATTTAAATGACTCTGTATTGCATTCAGTTTCGTCCTGTCCTAGTAATACTATTTATTTGGTTCGAAAAAAATCCAGAGCTTTGAAGTAAATTTTCTCACTCTTCTACTGTTACGCTTTACCGCAGTATAACATCTTCCATTATGTACTTATAGAGCGTCTAAACAAGGATTATTTTGTTGTGCTATCTGGTTATAGCTATGGCGACAACATCATGAACCAAATGACCATATGACCTGGCTATATACTCGGCCATCTCTTGGCAATATTGCCTGCAATCTGTAGACACAAATTTTTCAGAATTTTTCATTAGAAGGGCTACAAAATCATGCAAGAGTACGAGTCACGGCAGCTTGCAATATTTACATAAAACTATATCAAGTGGGAGTCCGATACTTCTGCAATCTGACAGCAACAAATGAAAATAGTTCTGAAATGACAAAATTGTGTACCAATATTGCCAAGCCATCCTATCGCCATATCGTCGTTGTTCTGATGAAACCTCCTATGTAACAATTTTTACACATCGGAGCTTTCTGAATATCTCTCTAGTCAAAGATGAGCTCCGTGGTCTGATGCACAAGATTTTCATAATAAGAAACTCGTAAGTTTGTAGAGATTTACTAAGAATCGGTGTGAATGGAAGCGAAACCAATTTCTTTAAGTTTGAATTTATGCCATTCTGTAAGAACTGCTTCCACACATTTTTCGTCAAATCAACGGCGAAATGTCGCTGACTATTTCATTTCAGTTAGATAATGGAACATTGCCCGTTAAGTGCCGCCATAAGAGCACGGAAAGCGCCCCCCACCTCTTGATGCCCAACTCTGCCATTTTTTCAATTTTCGAGAAAACAGTATATTACCTTTTATCTTATTAGTAATTAAAGTGCTAGACCACTAGACTACCTCCCGCTCTTCAGTTCTTCAATTTTGCAGGAGTAGTGGTGTTTGTGTTTTTATATGTGGCAACAACAAACGATATCGAAAAATTTACTTACGAAAAATAAACTGAAGATCCTAAGCAATCAAACGGTATAGTAGGGATATGCAGCTTTCAGCTTAGCTGGTGTAGGTTTGAAAATTGAAAAGAAACACAAAAATGCACTGTGAACTAGCTTAGTACGAAACTAAAACTGCGAAATGTTTCCCGGTGCAAAGTTCTTCGATTGTTAATAACGTTGATAATTGATGGTACCTAGACATGTATCGGTGGCATATAATTAACGTAGAGTGCAAGGCATGAAAATATTTTATTGTTTTGCGTCCAGTTCATATAATCCATTGTAGGACAATAGACTATCCGGTTATATTCCATGGAACTGTATCGTACGCTATTAGCATCTAAAAACAATGAAAGAAAAGAATTCAAAACATTCTCGTAGTTCTGATTTGTTCCTGTTATGATATACGTCGCTCAATTTGAATTCACGAAACGGTTTTTAGAATTCCTTGCACGTTATGCATGCATTTCCATTGTCAGCTGTGTGAAACATGGTCAAAACTTCGACTGCTACGTGAGGCATACAGTAATAATGTGCATAAACTACCAGTCTTTTTTTTGTACATACAAAATCATCTAAAAATGCTTAATATCCTACCTCGCACATCTGAATGAGTTTTTCATTTCCAGACTTCTTTGCCAACTTCATAAACTCCTCCTGTTCCTTAGTGTCGTCCTCCAAAATATCGTGACATGATTCCAGTAACAAAAAGCATCTGGAACTGTCCTCAATCCTCTCCCGTGTGTCCTCCAATTTCTCCCTGAATGCTTTCATCTGTATTTGAAGGTTGCTTGCAAACTCCTTGAGTTGTTCGCCTTTAGCATCCTTCAAAGTCTTGCACTCTTCGTACAGGTCGTTGGACTTTTCGATTTGTCTCTGAAAAGCGATCATCAGTATCATATGCTCTGAATAATGTGGACCGATACTATCGACTCCCCAGTTGAATTGACCAGAACGGAGGCTACTATTTAGAAATGAGTGTTACGTCATAATTAAACAAGTTTTTAATCTATTTCTGTGTAATTAAAGAATAATTAAATCGATAGGTACCCTCACTAGCTTTGTGTTACAATTTCTTGAAATAAGAAAGCGGCAGCGCCATATCTAGAACGATGCATGAAAATCCACAGTCCCATATCTGGACCATTTAACAATAATCAATGTCATGTCTGCCCCCCACTACATAATCATTTTTTATTATGATTAATATCGGTCTTACACATTCTTTGAAAAAAGGTATATTTATCAATATACATACCCATGCATTGAAGAAGAACTTCTCGAAATCATTAGCCACATCTTTTACCGCCTTGGAGTCACTAGCAGATCGCAGCAACAACGTCAAACTGTTCAGTGTGTCTTCCCCAACTTTCTTCGTCCAAGACAGGAGCTGGAAAGATTTCAATGCAGTATAAATTAACAGTGCATCCCACGAGACGGACAATTTAATAATCGTTTGCAAAAATAATAGGTACGAACGATGAAACAGTTTTGCGAATCCGTTCCTCTGTTGTTATTGTTTCGTTTCGTATAATTATCTAGAAACTGAGGCAGTTGGATGATCTAGAATGTCAGGAAGTGGAGTTTTGAATGCTTGAGATATACTTGATAATACCTCCTTTGGTTTGCATAAGGAAATACAGTGATTTACGTTTCTGTTATCATATTTGTACACGTAATTGCAGCAGCATACGAGTAGAATAATCTGCTACGGAAATAGCACTGACGGGAGAACGAATCCCAGAAAATACGCCTCCATTGACCCTTTTTGGGACCACCGTGTAATCAATACTACGAGTAGTACTACTCGGAGGTATCATAGTATAGACTGGATTTGTCAGATATAAATAATTAACAACATAAAATATGTAAATATCTGCAAAATTATAAACTGTGTGTCGACCCTGCTTGGGTTGACATACAGGGCACATTGGAAAACACCAGTTTGCGATGTCCAAATTCGCGCGTCTCTATTGACCAGAGGTACTAAATGCCTGGACAGGCAGCGACCAACTCATGTTTATTTTGGCGCGGAGTAAATGTCTCCCTTCGCACATATGATGAACAAGCTATGGGACATGAGAATCTCCATCAATTTGACCGATTCTCTATATTTGGACCACAGCGACGATTGCCAGAACTTCATATCAACTTGCCTGCCGTAGCCTTTATGTGACCCTAAAACCCAACTCCCCAATTCATTCTTTTTAGAAAGCGTTAGTCCGATTGAAGTACAAGAAGCTGTCCTATCACTTAAAACCAAAAAAAGTCCTGATGTAGATGGTATCAAAGCCGACCATTTAAAAATAATAGCCTACGACTTAGCCGAACCACTTTCTTACGTCATTAATTGGTGTTTCCAATCTGGAATTTGTCCAGATGCATTTAAAACAACTGTTATTACTCCTGTTTATAAAAGCGGTGACAGAATGGAAACATCAAATTATAGACCCATATCAGTAATATCGAATATAGCCAAAATTTTCGAAAAATTACTACAAAAAAGGATATTACAATTTTTGGATAAAAACAAAATTATATGTTCTGACCAATATGGATTCAGAAAAGGAAAATCTACTACAGATGCAATTTTGGCTGTCATGGATGAAATTAACTCTAATGTCAATAAAAAGATACCTACTATTGGTATCTTTGTTGATCTAAAAAATGCCTTTGATACGGTTAACCATGTCGAGCTTCTGAAAGTTATGGAAAGATTGGGATTTAGGGGAGCATCACAAATCCTTTTAAAAAATTACCTTTCAAGTCGGACACAGACTGTCGAAATCACTAACACTTACAGTAAAAAAATGTACATCAAGTGTGGTGTGCCTCAAGGAACAGTACTAGGCCCACTATTATTTAGTCTCTACTTAAATGACTTATTCAAAATTAACAGTTCTGGAAAGATTATATGTTTTGCAGATGACACCCTCGTATTATATAAAGCTGATGACTGGAGCACATTGAAGCAAATAGCTGAAAAGGATTTTATAAGGATCATTGACTGGTTTGATACTAAAATTTTAACAGTTAACTTCAAAAAAACAAAATTTATTGCATTTACATCCTATTCAAAATTTTTACCTACCTTCGAACAAATTTCCGTTAATTATCATGGCCAAAAGACTAAAATCGATAGAGTTAATACTTTGAAATATATTGGAATATTTATAGACTCACATCTAAGGTTGGATAACCATATTAAATATGTTATCAAAAAAATTAGAAATGTTGCCTATAAACTCAAAATGCTTGCTAACATTCTTACAGAAAGTTATCTGCGAATCCTATACCATGCCTTAGTTGAAACCCATATAATATACGGCATCACAGCCTGGGGTGCCGCCTGCAAGACATATATTTCTGACCTGAATATAGCTCAAAAAAACTGTTTTGAAAGCCATTTTCCATAAGCCAAGATTATATCCAACGAACAACTTATATCAAGAAACAGGGATACTTGATACAAGACAACTTTATTTCTTACATGCCACCACTTTATACCATAAGCATTGTAATAAAAATAAAAAATCCTATAAACACGAGCATAACACACGATTTCGAATAGGCTCATCTAATATCCAAAGACCACACAAAACATTATTCAAAAAATCATTTAAATTCTTAGCAGCTAAATTATATAATGTAGTACCAAACGAAATAAAGATACTTAATTTTGGAAAAAAATTTAGAAGAAAATTGAAAGACCGGGTTAGTAATGTGCAGCGAATGACTATACATAATTATATAGAAAACTAAAACTACAAAATTCCAATTACATTAATACCTTTTAGATTTAACAATAATTGTTATACACATATATGATTGATTGTTAGTTATTAACATATAAACCACACACAGGCGATGCCTTCTGTGGTTTTTTCATATTTATTTGCCCATTTTTTGTATTTTGGCCAATAAATATTATTATTATTATTATTATTATTATAGCTTCTGTTGACGCAGCCTGGAATAATCAAGCACGAAGGAAGCTAAAATATACACAGTTAAATTGGGACTTTACACAGAGCACGGTTCTTGTAAAAATAACAAAATTCTCTTAGTTCCGGAAATCCAGCACTGGCTTGAGAGAAGGATTAGGTTAAACCATCCGACTTGCGTCAGAATCAATCCTTCATGTTGTGTAGGTAAATCGGTCGGATCGGACGTTGTTGATTCAATACCAGTGTCTTCAAGATGCTGCTCCACGAGTCTGTTGAAGCCCTTTTCCAGACAGTCGCCAACTCTCGTCAGGTGGGTTTATCTCTTTCATACAAAGGACGATAGTGGAACAGTCGAGGTAATCACAGCAGAAAACCTAGATACCCACAAATATTGCAAGACGAGGAAGGAGTTAACAAAATGCAAAGTGCATGTGAACCAAGCGATGACAACTTTGTACAGTATTTAAACTTAAATATTTTATAGCAGGGCGATATTTGAAATTGCTTATTAAATAAATAGTGATCAGTTTAGCTCAACTTCGACTGTTTGCTTGTGTTTTGCGACACAATAGCTTTGTCATTTTTAACGTAGTTGTTTCTAAAAGGAATGGTCCAACTTCCCAACCGCTCTGTTTATAGTAATCAAAGGGGTGGCATGGTTGATCTCAGTATTGCCAGGAATTCTTATGCTTCCCATCTTTCTGGAGAATGCATGAATATCGTTTAGAGATATCTACGAATGTGTACAAAATTGTTGCTTTGGAACTAGGGTATATTTTTCTGTATCAGTCTTTCCCACATAATCACACTAAAACCTTTTATTATTAAAAGTAAATGCTTTGGTCAAAATCAGTTTAGATAGTAACGCGAGAGAAACACTTCTCACCTTTGACAGCAATTTAATTTCTGTTATCTAACCACTACTAAGGTAAATGACTATATTCACCTTTCCTTTTTCCTTCTATAATAGTGACCAAATATGACCCTATGATTAATCTTAATAACAAGTGAAACTATTGGTATCTTCTGAAGCCCATATAAATTATGACATTCAAAGAATGATCCTGAGAGCAATGGCGTAGCGTACAGGGCATATTTAACATTCGGTAGACATAGGATGCGTGCACATGTTTGAGCAAAACTTTTGCAGAGACTGGTGATCTGACTCTCTTCTACCGTTTTGTCAACGGGCTTTGCTCCTCAGAGTTTTCCTCCATGGTGCCACCGTGCTATGATCCTGTCAGACAGAACCACATGACTTCGGTCTTCAATCCTAAAAGTGTCGAACTTCGTACATCCAGAACTGGCCGGTACGGTCACTCCTTTGTCGATATGGTGTCAAGATTCTGGAGCAACATGCCTGAATAAGCCATTTCCAGTTCTACTAACATTAGGCAGTCAAAAAAACAGGTGTCCTAAAGCCGCGGTATCCCGGTATTTAGGCTTCTGCCTACGCGACCGCTTGGGTACAAAAATGAAACCCTTTTTAACAGTGTTAACCACCGTAAAGGGATCTGTACCACTTCTATCGAAGAAGGTGATACGAGTACATCCCTATGGGATCCATTTTGGGAGAGCACTGACCTTCTGCAGCTAATGTAGTGTAATACTTTGGAATGAAGTATGATCGAGCTCTGAAAAAAACCTGAGTTGAACGTAAAAAGTGTCCATTGGGGCTTTAAGCCGGTTGATCTTCCCTCAACAAAGTGCAGAATTCAGAATTCCTATCCCTGTCGTTACGCCGCTGTCTTTAACAAGCATTTGCTCGTACAGAGAAGCATTTATCGCAGAATTACGATGATCGAACGATCGTGCAGGTCATTTCGTGTCATCATTAAAGCCACTTTCAGTTATAGGATACAAAGAGATAATTTGACAAATGTTGCTGTTAACATTAATAAGTAGAGTCTATCAGGGAAGTCATCGCTTTTGGACTGTCACTTACCCAGAAAATTACTCAGATATTAATTTCGATCGCAGATAACATTCGAAATTATATGCTTGCTATAGGTACAGCGTTCTTAGTCGTTTCTTTAGAAATCCGTCTTCCTTTATGACTTTATTGTCTTTCGCAAGCAGGTTGTAGGAAGATATTTCGTTTGATATTGATTTTCTCACAACATATATAGTAGATGCAGTAATTTGAGAACATCTTTAAAATGGCTGCATAGTATTCTACGAAAATAACCACCGCTATGAAATGTTGTTTCATGACTTTTAGCAATCATCAGTACGGTACTGGCCTAGTCATTTTGAGACAGACAACAGAAAGCAAACAAGCGAATGTGGATCTACTAAACACTTATATGTATTTATATTTTATTATTATTGTAGTCCTTAGATAGTTACTGCTGTTTATTACAAACGTTTTGGTGCTAAAATTTTGCATTAGAAAAAGATTCTAAATGTTTTCTTTTCTAATCTGATGGTCAAAGTGCAGACT